GGAATGGTGTTCTGGGACCTCGAAGAACACGAAGTGGCCTAAAATTGGCTCCGGGCATTCAAAATCATGGAGTTCTGGGAACTCGAAGACCACGAAGTGGCCTACAATTGGCTCCAGGCATTCAAAATCATGCCCAGGAATGGAGTCATGGGAACTCGAAGACCACGAAGTGGCCTACAGTTGGCTCCGGGCATTGAAAATCATGCCCAGGATTGGAGTTCTGGGAACTCGAAGACCACGAAGTGCGTTACTGTTGGCTAAAAAGAGTCTCCGCGGCATTCCCCGGCACCCGCCCAGACCCCCTGGGGAGTCAAGATGCTCTCTTTTGACACCATTAGAAACCTATCAGTCTTCGCTGTTAGGTAACATGAATATTAACGATGTTCGATTCTCCCGGCGCTCTCGGGAGGCTTCTCGCGGAGCTCTCTTGAGGTCTCTTGGAGGCCTCCTGGGAGCCTGGAGAGCCGCCCGAAAGCTATCCTGGGTTGATTGGGAGCGTCTTGGGCCTTTCTTTGACGTTCTGGGGGCTCCTAGGGGTCGTCTTGGGCTGTCCTTGGGCGTTTTGGGGGCTCCCGGGGAGGTCGGGAAGCGCGGTACCAGGAGCGTTCTGCAGATGTTCCGGGAAGGTGTGGGACCCCCAGAAGGAGGGGGCGCGCATTTGTCGAAAAAAACTGTAATTCCTTTTTGTTTCAAACTGCTCGGTCTTGGAGCGTTGGAAGCCGGAAAACGTGAGAAGGCGAAACAACTCGACAAAAACCACTGACAATCAAAGATTTTGCCTCTTGGGTTGCTTCTCTGGGACCCCTCGAGGGCTCGCCCTGAGGCTCTCTTGGGTTATCTTGGGAGCCTCTCGGGCCGTCTTGGGACCCTCTTGGGGTCGTCTTGGAGCCCTCTTGGGAGCCTGTGCGGTCTTGGGTGCCTCTTGGGCCGTCTTGGACGCTGTGAAATCCCAAGAGATTTACATGCGTAAAATATACTTTTCCCGAAGGGGAATGGAACGAATATTGCCTCTTGGGGCCCTCCTGGGGGCCTCCTGGAGGCATCTTGGGAGCTTCCTGGGGGTCTCTCGGGGGCCTCTTGGGGCCTCCTGGGAACCTCTTGGGGCCTCCTGGGAGCCTCTGGGGCCGAAAGCTCGGAATGTGAATATGGTTCTACACCTCTGAAACCCCTCTGGTGCTCGCCCTAGGGCTCTCTTGGGCTGTCTTGGGGGCCTCTCGGGCCGTCTTGGGACCCTCTTGGGGTCGTCTTGGAGCCCTCACCTGTGGGGCAGTCTTGGGGGCCTCTTGGGCCGTCTTGGACGCTGTGAAAGCCAAAGAAGTACATATGCGAAAAACTACACGTTTCCCTAAGGGAATGGAGCGAACTTTGCCTCTTGGGGCCCTCCTGGGGGCCTCCTTGAGGCCTGTTGGGAGCCGTCTGGGGGTCTCTTGGGAGCCTCTTGGGGCCTCTTGGGGCCTCCTGGGGACCTCTTGGGGCCTCGTGGGAGCCTCTGCGGCCGAAAGCTCGGCATGTGAATATGGTTCTGCACCTCTGAAACCCCTCTGGGGCTCGCCCTGGGGCTCTCTTGGGCTGTCATGGGGGCCTCTCGGGCCGTCTTGGGACCCTCTTGGGGTCTTGGGCCGTCTTGGACGCTGTGAAAAGCCAAAGAGGTAGATATGCGAAAAATATACGTTTCCCTAAAGGAATGGAACGAATTTTGCTCCCTGGGCCCTCCTGGGGGGGCCTCTGGGAGCGTCACAGGAGGCGTCTGGGAGGCCTCTTGGGGTGTCTTGGGGGACATCTTGTGCGTCTCGGAGCGGCCTGTGCGTCTTGGAGCGGCCTGCGGGCGTCGCGGATCCCTCTTGGCGCGTCTTCGGGCTCTCTTGGCGCTTTCTGGTGGCGTTTTGTGGGCCTCTGGGGCCCCCAAAAGGCCTGCACACACACACACACACACACACACACACACACACACACACACACACACACGCACACACACACACACACACACACACACACACACGCACACGCAACACACGCACACGCACACACACACGCACACACGCACACGCACAGCACACGCACACGCACACGCACACGCACACGCACACGCACACGCACACGCACACGTCACACGCACACGCACACGCACACGCACACGCACACGCACACCACACACGCACACACACACACACACACGCACCCACACACACACACACACACCACCACACGCAACACACACACACACACACACACGCACACACACACACACACACACACACACACACACACACACACACACACACACAAACGCACGCACGCACGCACGCACGCACGCACGCACGCACGCACGCACGCACGCACGCACGCACACATTAGTGGTAGAGGTCGCGGCCCCAGGGGCCCGGGCCTGGTCCCGTGTTATATGTACAACCGTAGGGCGTCCTGCCCACAGTCATCCAGGTAAGCGGCTCAAGGATGCCACATTCTACGAACGCTGCTCGGACAAAAAGTGTCCACACCCATTGCGATACGGCGACGCAACACGATAGCAACCACAACTGCGAAATGCCCTTGCTTCGCACCCCTCCCCCCAAATCCAAAGTTGAAGTGTCCACATTATGTCCCTGCCCTGTGGCCTACCGCCCAAACCCGTCAACTTTGTATTTGGAGGAAGGGGGTAATTATACATGTTGGTTCGGCGTGCTTTGATAACTCGAGGTCTTGGCGAGACACGCGTGGGCACCTTAGTCTTCCCAACGAACGGCTGCCTTCTCAGATATCCTAGAAACTACTGCCTCGATTTGGTCACGAAGGTCTGACCTCACCACGGCGAAGGTCTTCATGAAATCATCAGGCGGCTTCGGTTTGACACCCTCGTCTCGCCCCACCACATACATGTACAAGTCCGAGCATTGATTCAGCGAGCCTGTCAAGGAACCCGTTGGCTTCATCATATTGAATAGCTTCTTGCGGATTACACGTTTGGCCCGGTCGCAATAAGTTTTGAGATCGCCGGCTGCACTGCCAGATTTGGAACCTTCAGTTTCCGAACAGTAATCCGACAAGTCGTTGGCTATGTCAACCAGTGTGCGCATATCGCCATCATACTTTATGAGGGGTAACCCGTTGTCTCCTCAGCACAATGACGCACTCATTAGCTGCGCAGGCCAAATCCTCCAGATCACACCAAGCAAGGGCGTATTTTCGTCGCTTCAAGTCAAGATGGTGGTGAGACGCTTGAGATTTCTTAAACGACCGAGCGTCAGGTTTTGACCAACGTCTGTTGAAGCCATGCGCAATGACTAAGTCGGGCAACACAGAAACGTTTTGGAGATATCGGCTGCAGCTTTTGAGCCTGTACGCATTGACCTGTAACAGCACGTTTGAGCGTGACGCACAGCGATGCGACGGTGAAACCCACAACTTCGCTTTGATGACCAAAAACCCCAAGCTATCAAAACTCACCACCAACTTCACGCCAGCTTTTCTTCTTGGCAAGGTTGGCAAATTGTCCACCGTGAAACGAAACAAAAGTAGATTGCCCTCGTGCATGATGCGCTCCCCCTCGGCCAACTCAAAAACCATCTTCCTTTGGTCATCAGCATTGGTCGTGTACAGCCAAAGAACGGAGCTGCTTCGATCCAGTTTCGGCGCACCCCTTTAATGCCAATAACTTCGCAATCCCCCTCGAACGTTTACGCCCGGCGACAAGGGAAACTTATGTTCGAAGATATCGACTGTCTGGCGGCCTTAAGAATATTGGCCATCCTTTCGAGACGTGTTTCAATGTCGTCGCCGTCCTGGTCATTACGCACACGGTACTTGGCGACCATTGCCGCCAAGACATCAGAATCTGACCTATGGCGAATATGCGTCAAAGTTTCACGCCACAAGTCTTTGCTATCCTGCTCGATGCTGGCTGCTTCTGGGAGGCTTGCAACTACGTTCAAAACCAATTCTTCGAACAAAGATCCGCGCAGCTTCCTAACTCCAGCGAAACAGGCCTTCAATGTTTTGACAACAGTTTGCGCAACTCGGTTTCCATGATAGAACGTCGCGATTTGTTCACGCTCTTCCTTGATTTCACCATACGCTGCCTCTTCTAACCCAGCGTCATACGCTAAGTCAGTGAAGACAACATCAAATGATGATCCATCCCATGATTCTAAGGAAATCGACTTCCGCCCAACCCGATTTATCTTGCGGATCACACCGTTCAGAGATGAAAGGATGATACCGTTCAGATGTTTTACAAACGTCTTTCGTTCATTACGGGTCATTCTGTGCTTTGGAGTTTTGACCCACACGTCAACATCGGATGAATCCGCCGACCCCTTGTGGGTCTCTAGGCGTGCGAGATTCTTCCCCCTCCCATAACTCTCCCCTGGGGGGCCCAAACTGGCAATTCTTCACGCTTCGCGCATCCCCACCAGCCCATTCCAGAACAGTCTCTTGTGCGAAGCATGCCGGCAGTCGTGGCTTTCGGGCGCACCTCCTCCTGCCCACGCATATATCCTTCTACTTCTCTGGGTTTTTCGCTCTGGGAGGCTCTTGGAGGCATCTTGGGGGTATCCCGGGACCTTCTTGGGGATATTTTGGAAGTCTCTGGGCCCTTCTGGGGTTCCCGTGGTGCCTCTCGGGGTCCTCTTGGGCCCCCCTTGGGGCGCTGTTGGGGCGTTGTTGGGGCCCTCTTGGGGCTCTTTGGGGGGGTCTGGGAGGTCTCTTGGGGCCATCTTGGAGGCGATCGATCAAAACAGGGACGAGCACTTTTCTCTGTCCCCCCGTCGGGTCCCGAAACTTTATGAAATTACAACATGCGGCGCCTTTTCGGCTGCCCATCTTGGACGCCCTGACGACCCGCGGAACGGCCTCTCCAGGTCCAGGGGGAGGGGGTAGGGGGAGGGGTCAAGACCCCCTCCCCGCCCGCAAGCCGTCTCGCTCACTCCCGCCCGCCCTCCCAACACATACGTAGCACCCGAGTCTGGCCCGAGCCTGAGCATATTCAGCAGTCGTCTTTGGATGGGCAGCCACTGGGGGCCAATCCGCCGCCGCCACCGCCGCCTCCGCCGCCGCCGCCGCCGCCGCCGCCGCCGCTGCCCGCCGCCGCCGCCTCCTGCCGCCGCCGGCGCCGCCGCCGCCGGCGCCGCCGCCGCCGCTGCCGCCGCCGCCGCCGCCGCCGCCGCTGCCGCCACCGCCGCCGCCGCCGCCGCCGCCGCCGCCCCCCGCTGCCAAACCGCCGCCGCCGCCGCCGCAGCCGCCCGCCACCGCCACCGCCCGCCGCGCCGCCGCCGCCGCCGCCACCGCCGCCGCCGCCGCAGCCGCCGCCCGCCGCCGCCGCCGCCGCCGCAGCCGCCGCAGCCGCCGCAGCCGCCGCCGCCGCCCGCCGCCGCGGCAGCCGCCGCAGCCGCCGCCGCCAAGTGTACTATGTATTGTTTTTTGACAGGGATGGTGGGGGGGCCGCATCGGGTTGGCTGCGCATGTTCCGAATTTGGAGGTAGAGTGTGGTTTGCATTGCTTTTTACAAGGAATGGTGGGGGGATGTCGTCATGGACCCTGGTTGGCCCCCAGTCGCCTGGGGGAGGGGGTGTTTATTGATAGGGAACAATGATAAACACCTCCCCGAAGGGGAAGAAAGGGGTTGAGGACAGAGAGGGCTCCCTAAACCACTCACGCCCAGAGGGCTGGTGGGATTTGACCCCCCCCCCTGGGCCGGGGGCGGCCCACTCCCGAACTCCTCAGGGGCGGTCCGGGCTCCGAGGGGCTCGGCCTGGAGCTCCAAGGCACCCCGTCGAGCCTCCCAAGACACCCCCAAGACAGTCCAGGAGAGCCCAGACTCGCCGAATGGTCGATCCAAGATGCCCGAGAAGCCGCGAAGACACCCCAAGAGGCCTCCAAGAGGCCTCCCAGGAAGCCCGAAAGAAGCCAAAATCGTCAAATTCCATTGGGGAAACATACATGTCTAGCATGTGCGACTTTTCGGCCTGCGCGGCGTTAAAGAACATCCAAGAGGCACCCAAAACCGCCTCACGACGGCCCAAAGCCCTCCCACGAATCCCCCAAGACGGCCACAGAGGGCGCCAAGCCGGCCCCAGAAGCGCCCAAGACGGCCCAAAAAGGCCCCCAGCATGCCCCAGACAAGGCCCAAGAGGGGAACCTCGAACCGAAAATGCAGGTTTTCCGCCCGAAGAGACTCCCAGGAAGCCCGAAGAGGCCCCCGAGAGGGCCCAAGAGGCCCCCAAAAGGCACCCCAAAGCCCCCAAAGGCCCCCAAGAGGCTCAAAAGAGGCCCCAAAACAGCCCCCAAGAGCCCTCGAAAATTCCTCCAAGAGGCTCGCGAGAAGCCTCCCCACGAGATCCCAACGGATAGCCCCGAGGCTTCATACCCACAACCCAGGCACAGTGGCCGGATGGGCCGAAGGCCACGAGACACTCACGGAGTCCAGCCGTAGCGACAATGCCACCCCAGGCAGTCCGACCCACCGCCTCTATAATCATTTCCTTCCCCTGGCCCTCAAACAGAAACATCGACCAACTCCCTTCCTTTCTATCATTCCCTCCTCTTCCTGTTTCCCCTGGCGTAGTCCTCGGGCACCCGCCTAGGAGCCCGGACGGCCCGGGAAGAAGTCGTGAGCCAAAGAAGGGTGATCTCGGAGAGTGTGCCGACCTGGGGCCCGGGCCGCCAGTACCACGGCATATCATATACATGTGCCTCCTGTCCTCCCATCGCGTCCAAGGCAGCTCAAAAGGCCCCCAAGTGGGATGCAAGAAGGCCCAAGGCCCGCGGTTTCCACAGAAGACCTGGGAAGCGGTATCTCGGCAAACAAAACATAACAAGGGGTCGGCGGATGTGGCGTAAGCCTATAAAATTTTGAATAGCGACCTTGCGTTGGAGACTACCAGCTTTTTCGGGCCAACATCCACCAGGGACACCCATGTCCGAACAAATCTTAGTTATCGCATTCACCAATTCAATTGGCAACACTGCTTGAGATGTGAGACGATCGCCCAAAGCTTGGAAAGTGCCGCTATCTAGGTCAAGCATATGTGCTAACCGTTGCTCTGGGGACATGCACAAAAACTCACGCGGCTCCATTACCAGTGGCCTCGAACGCATGCTGAGAACACTGGCATGCAAACGCCGAGAAGGCAAAATCAAAGTCACTGGCAGTCCTGCAAAAGCGACCTTGTACACCCCGACAACAGTGTAACAAACTGCACACAGCAGCACCAATAAAAACGGACGTGTCCTTGACGTGTGGATTGACCACCTTCTCCCGATATGGATCGCAATATCTGGCATCACGGCGGATACAATATCCAATATCGACCCGCGAGATTCGGAGAAGAAAAAACGCCATAAACATCGGATTTCTTGGATCTGCGCTGGACCCTCTCCCCGGCGCGCGGAGCGCGCCAGGGACCGCGCCGGAGGCGCCGCCGGGAGCCCAGCGTGGATCCAAGAAGTCCGCGCGGAGCGCCAAAAGCTTATGCTTATGGCGGTCTCTTCTTCGAGAGAGAGTCGCGATGCCGCGCCTGGGCCTGGGCCACTGAAGGCCACTCGAGCCAAAATGGGCGAGGCACCATCTGGAGCGTCGACGAATCGGCATCCGGGACACGACTCCCGAGCTGGATCCCACTGTCTGGCATCACGGCGGACACCATGTACAAGATCGACCCGCGGGACGCGATGCCTCGCCTGGGTTATGTTCCTCCTATCGTACTTGAGGACCACATCCCAGAAATAATTTCGAGCACCCAGACAAGTGCCGAAACAGTGTCCAACGAGTACCGCCTCCCAGGGCCCGACACGTGAAACCCTCAAGCTCCGATCCTTCCTCAGTGCTCGAAGCTCTTTCTGGTGATGGAGGCTAAACTAGGTTTTAAGTCGGGCCTGTCCCCCTACAGGCCAATTTTAAGCGAAGAATTAAAAATAGTCCAATAATCCCCCCAAAATGCTCAAAGCACTAAAGAGTAGTCCCCAGACTATTCTTAGACTATGTTTTAGGTTGGACCAGCACAACTAGGGGAACAAAAAGTGACACAAACATAAAAACTCTGAGGTCCGGCGCCGCCCCTGGCGCGCTCCGCGCGCCAGGGAGAGGGTTCCAGCGCCGATCCGAGGAATCCGCGCGGACCTCCGAGTTTTTATGTTTATGTCATTTCTTATTTCCCTAACTTAGCTGGTTCTTCATGGGAGCCTTTCTGACGCCAGCGGCGCCCGAACATGCCATGGATTCTGACCGGCTTTGGCCCTGACTCTGACCACGACGCTGTCCCACGCCGAGTGGTCTGCAGTAGCCCAGTCCCAGACGTTGTTATCGGAGGGCACCAACTATACACCAACACCGATCCTGGCCCAGGATCACCCTGGGCCCATGATCGGTGTATATGCCTTCTTGCCCAAGGCAGGAGGGCGTATACACCGATCCTGGGCCCAGGGTGATCCTGGGCCAGGATCGGTGTTGGTGTATAGTTGGTGCCCTCCGAAGTCCCAGACGTTGTTAGGCTCACAACGCCTGGGACTGGGCCACTGCAGACCACCCGAGCCAGAGCAGGCGAGGCACCGGCCCAGAGCGCCGACCCGTCGGCACCCCGGCCCCACGGCGCGCGCGGGGGCCTCCGGCGGCCGTGCGGTGAAGGGGCCCCATATGGGGCCCACAAGCAGAGACACACAAAGAGAACAGGAGTCCCCATATTTTCCCAGGTCTTCCCATAGTTTCCCCCAGTTTCCCATATTTTCCCCAAAAGTTTCCCATGTCTTCCCATATTTTCCCCTAGTTTCCCATATTTTCCCCCCCATGTTCCCCCCATTTTCCCATGTCTTCTGGGTTCTCTTGTCTTCCTCAGGAGGCAGCTATACGGGGAGGTCTTCGTCGGAGAGATCAGGGAGGATGGAGCCCCATTGGGGGGCTGGTATGCTGGAGTGGGCCTCGGATTAGGCCGGATTAGGCGGGATTAACCGGGATTAAGCCGGATTAAGTGGGATTAAACCGGATCAACCCGGATTAAACCGGATTTCGGACCAGGGCAAAAACAGAATTTGACATCCCAGGAGTTGCATCCGAATAAATACACACAAATAACAGGATTCCCCATATTTTCCTATATTTTCTTGGTTTTTGTCTTCCCCCCCCCACCCACTTCCCACATTTTCCCCCATTTTCCGAGGGATCGACGATGGATTGGTCTGTGTGTTCTTTTTCCCTCCTGAGTGCGGGAGGATCGAGCTTCGGGCGCCTCCCCCGCAGCGAGGCCTCGGCGGGGCGCAGCTGCCGGCAAGCGGCCCCGAGCGGTGCCGGGGCCGGCGGCCGCGGAAGAAGAGAGCGCGCGCCGCGAGTATACGCGCGCCCGCGCGCGCGCGCGGAGGGAGGAGGGAGGAGGGAGGAGGGAGGAGGGAGGAGGGAGGAGGGAGGAGGGAGGAGGGAGGAGGGAGGAGGGAGGAGGGAGGAGGGAGGCCTCACGGCAGCCGGGCTCCCGGCTCGGCGCCCGGGCCGCAGCTGAGAGCCCAGGACGTGTCCCCTTGGCCTCTTCGGTGCGGGAGCGCCACGCGCTCCGTGAGGCAGAGCCGCCGGAGCCCGGGAGATCCAGGGCACCCTGGAGGCGAGCAGGGTGCTTCTCGGCAGGGGCTCCCACCGTGGGCAGCCCCGGACTCCGGGCGGCCCACGAGCGTCACGCCGTGGAAGCACGGTTCTGTCGGGCGTGTCCCCCTACAGGGGGATTTTCGACGAAAGATAAGAAGTACTCCAAGAATACCCCAAAAAGGTCAACAAATATTCAGAAAATAGTCCCCAGACTATTTTTGGATTATTTTTCGATAATTTTGGCGGTATTTTTTATTTGTCGTTGAAAATCCCCCTGTAGGGGGACAGGCCCGACTTAAAAACATGGCCACAAGGGTTACGCGGGCCGAGAGCCCGGGCACCCTCGCTGGGCAGCGAAGGCCCCGTGGAGATGCCCGAAACGATGGGCACTCCGAGGTGGGAGGCCGAGAGACCACGAAGAGCACAAGGCGACCCTTGTGGATGCCACGACAATGGACACCCTAACAGTCCTATCCTTGAACTCAAGATGTGCTTAAAGTGTGGGGAAAAATGTTCTAGACGTGTTCTAAGCATGTTATGTCACATGTCTCGAACATGTTTGAAACATGTTTTAGACATCTGGAAATCATTTGGCAACACGCTTCCTCTCCATGTATCGTCCTCCACAAGGCTACCCCATCCAAAGCTGGGGCCGTTCTGAATTAACCCTCGTGCCAGCAGTACGTCCTCTGCGGCGCGGCTCGTGAGCATCGTTTCACCGATGCCCATGCCCAGTGGCATGGCCCTGTCCCCAGTGGCCGACTTGCCCTCCTGTGTGGGGAGATCTGATGTTCCCTTCGGTTCCCGCGGGTCCTGTCCCCACCTGGTGAGCGCTTTCTCATTCGGCGTTTCGACCTTGGGCGGAAGGGGGGGAAGGGGGGGGGGTCCGGCTCCGGACCTCTGCTCAGCGCGACTGTTTGCAACAGTGAAGGGGCCCCAGGACACACAAATAAATACACACAAATAAAAATATCCCCCATATTTTCCCATATTTTCGGTTTTTGTTGTCTTCCCGCCCACTTCCCATATTTTCCCATATTTTCTGGAGAATCGAGGATTAATTGTGTCTGTGTGTTTCTTTCTCCCCTGAGCTCAGCGCGACTGTTTGCAACAGTGCGTCCTGTGGAGGAGACTCCGCCGACTCGACACAGGCGCCAAAGACCGCCAGGATCTGCTCCGGATCGGCAAAACTCTGGGGGCCCTGGGTGGGACACACAAATAAATACACACAAATAAGAATATCCCCCATATTTTCCCATATTTCCTGTTTTTTTGTCTTCCCGCCCACTTCCCATATTTTTCCATATTTTCTGGGAAGTCGACGATTAATTGTGTCTGTGTGTTTCTTCCCCTCTTGAAAAACAAATGGGGACTCCACTGATGGGTACTTTGGCCAGTGACCCGGCGAACCCAACCATTCCCGATGTGGGCAGCGCTGCCATGCCAGAAAGAGGGTCAGAAAGAGGCCCCAAAAGAGCGACTCTCGGCAACGTTCCAGAGTACCCGTTGGTGAGTGCCCGTGGCGCTGCCCCCCAAAGGAATGAGGAAACGACCACCGGAATCAACGGGGATCGCTCAGACGAGGCCCGCCTGGCTTGCGACCCAGACGCGGGCTCTCCTCGCGGGACCACTGGCTTGGCGGGGAGAGCACGAAGGCGGGCGGCGCGCGAGAGCGGCAGCCTTGCCCAAGGAGGCGGGGGGAGGTTGTCGCGAGAGGACTTCTTCGAAGCGCCCCTGTATGCTTCTAAGGTGGCCTCTCAGAGGGAGGCCTTCTGTAGGAGAGCTCCAAACCATACACCACCACCAGCCCTGGACAGGCCCATCCTGGGCCCTGGACTGGTGTACGGGCTCTCCTGGCCCAGGCCTGGAGGCCTGTACACCAGTCCAGGGCCCAGGATGGACCTGGCCAGGGCTGGCGGTGGTGTATTGTTGGCGTCCCTCCGATTCGAATCAGAAGGCGACAACCCACCCACCCCCACAGTCCCGACTCCCATCCCCGAGCCGGCGATTCAAGGGGTCGGGACTGGGAGTGGGGCGTTTTCTCCTTCTTGGACCTCGAAAAACCCACCCACCCAGTCCCGACCCCCTGGATCGCGCGTTCGGGAACGGGGTCGGGACTGGAAGTGGGGGTGGGCTTTCTCTTTTTCATCTAAGAAGCCCGCTGCCTTCGGAAGGAGCACCCCGCTGCAAGGTCGCCCCACTCGCGCCATCCCCCTGGTTCGTGCCGCCAAGACTCGAAGGAGGTTAGGATATCAAACACCGCCCTGCCAGGCTCTGAAAAGAGGGCTTCGGGCATCGCCCAGCCATCGGCAAATCCCACGAAGCCCGAGCGAACGCACTCGCGGAGAAAACAGGGAGCTCAGGGACGGCGGAACCCCGGGACCGGCACAGACGGGCCTCGCTCGGAGCTGATTGGCCACCTCGTGTGGCCACGCGTGCCGAGGCGAAGCTCCGGGGGCAGCCCGACAGCAGCCGAACCCCCAAGCAGCAGAAACATCGCAGAGCAGCAAGACGAGGGGCGCGGGCAGGAGCGAGAGAGGAAGGCCAAGACCAGCTGGCAGGTCACCGTGGGCACACCATTGCAGCACGCCTCGACGGCGACGACGACGACGACGACGACGACGACGACGACGACGACGACGACGACGACGACGACGGCGGCGGCGACGACGACGGCGGCGGCGACGACAACGACGACGATGGACGCTGACGCCGACGCCGACGACGACGACGACGACGACGATGATAACGACGACGACGACGACGACGACGACAACGACGACGACGAAGACGACGACGACGACAATGACGAAGACGCCGCCGACGACAACGACGACGCTGACGCCGACACCGACGCCGACGCCAACGACGGCGACGGCGACGGCGACGGCGACGGCGACGGCGACGGCGGCGGCGGAGGCGGCGACGGCGACGGCGGCGACGATGACGACGACGACGTCGACGGCGACGACGACGGCGACGGCGACGACGACGACGACGACGGTGACAAGCTGACGACGCTGACGCCGACGCCGGCGACGACGACGACGGCGACGACGACGGCGACGACGACGACGACGACGATGACGAAGACGTCGCCGCCGACGACGACGACGCCGACGCCGACACCGACACCGACGCCGGCGACGGCGACGGCGACGGCGACGGCGACGGCGACGGCGACGGCAACGGCGACGGCGGCGGCGGCGACGCCGACGGAGACGGCGACGACGACGACGACGACGACGACGACGACGAGGACGACTACGACGACGATGACGACGACGACGACGACGACGACGACGACGACGACGGCGGCAGCGACAGCGACGACGACGACGACGACAACGACAACGCCGACGGCGACGGCGACGGCGACGACGGCGGCGGCGGCGACGGCAACATTGACGGCGACGGCGACGGCGGCGGCGACAAAGGAACGGCGCCTGCAACGCTTCGCCCTCCAGGAACTCCGGGGGAGGCGCCCCCACAGAAGTCACCGCCAGGACAATGTTCTGTCCTCAGCGCAGGCCCATCTTCCTCCTCCTCCTCCTCCTCCTCCTCCTCCTCCTCCTCCTCCTCCTCATCATCATCATCATCATCATCATCATCATCATCATCATCATCATCATCATCATCATCATCAGCATCATCATCATCATCATCATCATCATCATCATCATCATCATCATCATCATCATCATCATCATCATCATCATCATCATCATCATCATCATCATCATCATCATCATCATCATCATCATCATCATCATCATCATCATCATCATCATCATCATCATCATCATCATCATCATCATCATCATCATCATCATCATCATCATCATCATCATCATCGTCATCATCGTCATCATCGTCATCATCATCATCATCATCTCATCATCGTCATCATCATCATCACCCACCACCACCACCACCACCATCATCATCATCATCATCATCATCATCATCATCAGCATCATCATCATCATCATCATCATCATCATCATCATCATAATCATCATCATCATTATCATCAGCATCATCGTCATCATCATCACCATCGTCCTCCTCCTCGTCCTGATCCTCCTCGTCCTCCTCCTGATCCTGGTCCTCATCAGAATCACTGCCTCCACCACAATGATAATGACCATCATCACATCAGCAACAACATCATCAGCATCACCGTCATCGTCATCATCAGCATCATCATCATCATCAGCATCATCATCATCATCGTCGCCATCAGCATCATCATCATGAGCAGCATCATCATCGTCATCAGCATCATCAGCAGCAGCAACGTCGAGATTCGGCATCATCGTCGTCATCATTGTCATCATCATTATCATCATCGTTATCCTCCTCCGCCTCCTCTTCCTCGTCCTCCTCCCCCTCCTCCTACTCCTCTTCCTCCTCTTCCTCCTCCTCCCACATATCTCTCCCCCTCTATCCTCCTCATTATGCCCCTTTCGTTATAAATAACTCCTCCCTTTCGAACCCCGAAGCCGGTCCAAAGGGCGGGCCAGCCGTGTAGCCACGCCTGATCCTGAAGCTTAAATATTGCAACAGCTTCACGGATGGAGGGCGGATCGTTTTCAAATTGTGGCTCTCCACTTGGCGCCGCGCGCATCCTAGTTCAAAGTTTGCAGAAGCTTCACGGATGGAGTTCAAAATGTGACTCTCGCCGCAGCGCCGCGCAAATTCGTCATGCCAAATTGCAAAAGATTCACAGATGGAGAGCGGGTCGTTTTCAAAATGTGGCTCTCGCCTTAGCGCCGCGCACATCCGTCTTCAAATTGGAACGAGCTTCACGGATGGAAGGCGAAACGCTTTCAAAAAGTGACTCTCGCCACAGCGCCGCGCGCATTCGTTGCAAGAGTTTTTACAACAGTTTCAAAGATTCTCGCGGCTACCGTGCCAGAAATGGTGTTTGGGCATGATGTCGGACTGTCAGGGCGCAACAATTAGTATGGTTCGTGTTGAAGTCCTAGGAATGGCGTTCTGGCATGATTCAGGATCGTTAAGACGCAACAGTAGGGTGATTCGCGGCGTTACAGTCCCAGGACAGACATTCTGGTACAATTCAAGATGTTCGAACGGTTGTTTTCCACAGGGGCACTTCCTTCAATGAAAATGAACCCCTGCAAGGGCCTAGAAAAACCGGAACTTGGAGGGAAGGTCCATTTAAATATCATTGATAGATCTTGGGTTTACACTGGTCCTCCTCCTCCTCCTCGTATTCCTCCTCCTCATCATCCTCCTCATCCTCCTCCTCCTCCTCCTCCCCCTCCGCCTCCTCCTCCTCTGCCTCCTCCTCCTTCCTCCCTCCTCATTCCTCCCTCCTCCTCTTCCCTGCTCCCTCCTCCCTCCTCCTCCTCCCTCTCCCCTCCTCCCTCCTCCTCCTCCTCCTCCTCCTCTTCCCTCTTCCCTCATCCCTTATCCCTCAACCCTTCCTCTTCCTTCCTCCTTCCTCCTCCTCGAAAGGGGAAACATTCACTCTATTGTATGTGCTCGTTGCTGATTTTGCCCATGTACGATATCACACCCAACGTCACATGATGATGGCCGTCTGCTCGTTCGTACTTCGGCAGATGCTGGCATGGTTCAACGAGCGTAAAGTTTCCTGATTCTCCGTCATCAGATCAGCGCAATGAAATTATTCTCAAACGCTTTCATCGCCGGCGGCACACCAACTCGACCATGTTCAAGAGAACGAAACGGCGGCACGGAAGAGGCCCCCGTTCGGTTGATTTCGACACAAGAGTAATGAATGTGCAAGCCCACCACGAACAGAGTCAGCTACACATGGAATCACCAATGGGAAGTTGCGCGGCTGGTTTGACATGGATTTGTCGTGTGGCAGATTTACACATTGATTTCAAATGTGGCGGCGTTGACCGAAGGCCCACTGGGCCACCAGCAAAAAAAATGAGTCCCGGGCGTGGTTTCTTTTTTCTGCTTGATTCGTGGTTTTCTTTATTCTTTTTGGGCGGGCATCCCCTTGGACCCTCGGCCATCTTGTACGTAGGCCACAAGCAGCATCCTTCTGTGGCGGGTTACAAAAGGACGCCTGTTGTGGCAAATGTTCACATGTATTCCTTCTGGCAAATGTACACAATGATTTGACTTGCGTCGGAGTTGATTGAAATCCCGCCGGGCCGCCAGCCACGGTGGGGGTAAAACAACAAATATAATTCCAGGCAGTTGCTTAGTGTTTCTTGTTTCTTTGTGTTTGTTCTTGTTTTGGCTGGTACCCCCGTGTGGGCCCTCGGCCATCTTGCACGTTCGCCACAAGAGGAATAATTTTGTGGCGAGTTACAAACGGATTCCCTTTGTGGCGGATGAGAGAGAGAGAGACAGGGAAAGGAAGAGAGAGAGAGAGAGAGAGAGCGACCGTTGTTAAGCACGACGCGCTCGTGCGGGACAAGCCGAAGGTCAAGGGAACATTCCGCAATGCGGCAACTGTTACCCAGCACGAGCAGTTGCAAAACAACGCCTGTTTCTTAAGGAACGCTACGAACATCGAGTTGGTACTCGACGGCACCACGGCCAACGAGGGCACGCACCTTCAGCTCTTAATTCACTTCGCCGATGTACGAAATCGAAATCAACATCACATGATGATTGCCGTCCGCTCGTTTTTCATTCGGCAGAAGACGGCATGGTATTTGACAACGAGCGCGAAAATCCCTGATTCTTCGGCATCAGACCAACGCAGTGCAACAACTATCATCAAACGCTTTACTTCGTCGGCGACGCGACACGCCAGCTCGACGATGTTAGAGAGGACGAAACGGCGGTTCGGAAGAGGCGCCCGCCAGCAGGTCGAGCTCAGCTCGATAGGGCCATTGCTAGAAGGAGAGGCGCGTCCGAGCGGCTCGTTTCTAGCGGCCATTGACACATGCTGGAAAAACATCAACTTTCTTCTGCGGCGCCTTGCGATTGCGTGGCTGTATCCGCGCGTCCAGAAAAACACGGAGGTCCATGCGCTGCCGGCCAAAGCTCCTTGGGCATGTTTTGCACATAACCGATGAGTGTGTGATCGTTTTGCAGATACCTTCTTGGCTCTGTTATTATAGAGCGCATTGGGTACGCTCGCATGAACTAGTTGAACTTTGATGGAGCATCATCAATATATGCATGCGTGTTCATTGTGTGAGCATGCGTATATGTGTATGTTGGTATGCGCATATGCTTATGAACGCGTGTGTACGTGTACCTACTTGCACACACTCCTATGAGAGTTTGCGCATGTGTGAGCTCACCTGGTGGACTACCGCTGGCTGCAATCGCAGAGAGCCCAAAGCCGAAGTTCTAGAGCGAGCGTTCTCCCCCTCCCTCCTAGAGTGAAGGTTTCTCCCCCTCCCTCCTCCCGCTTCCCCCCCCTCCCCCCCGCCCCTTCCGTGCCACTCCCCGCTCCCCCGCCGCTCCTCCCCTCGGAGCTCCTCACGGCTCCGTGCCTTTTTGACCACCGCCCTCTCGGGAGGGAGAGCCGTCTCGGGGCGGCCCCGGGGGCCTCCGGGGCCCCTCGTGGAGCGCCGGAAGCCCGAGAACGCGAGGACGCGACGAGCATCGAGAGGCACAGGGAAGCATCAACGAGCTTGGCCTCAAGTCGGGCGTGTCCCCCTACAGGGGGATTTTCGACGAATCAAAAAAAAAAATCCAACAAAAAAAAATCCAAAATGGTCAAACAAATATTCAAAAAAATCATCCCAGACTATTTGTTGCCTATTTTTGAATATTCCTCCTGTAGAGGGACAATCCCGACTTAAGCCTCGTGGGTCAATACTCAAAATCAAAAAATCATCCCCAGACTATTTTTTGCCTATTTTTAAATACTCCTCCTGTAGAGGGACAATCCCGACGTCAGCCTCGTGGGGCCCTTTTCGGGAGGCCTCTTGGATGCCCCTTGGGGCGTCCTCTGGGGGCCTCCAGGCCCCTCCGGGGGGGGGCCCTCCTGGGTACCCTGGGCCGATCGGGCTCCTTCACCATGCTGAAGGGGCCCCGGGACACACAGATAACACACACACACACATTTTCCAATATTTTCGCGGTCTCTGTCTTCCCCCCCGCTTCCCATATTTTTTCACACTAAGATGAGACAAGTGACGCTAAGCTAAGGGAACGTAACTGGGGGAACCGCGGGGCGGATACCGGGGGAACCGCCCGGGGCGCTTTCCACTGCCCGGCCCCTTTAAGCCCAGAGAGTAAGAACCCTCCTAGGCAGAGCCTAGGTAGGGAAAGATTCCCCATATTTTCCTATAGTTTCTGGGTTTCCGTCTTCCCCCCCGCTTCCCATATTTTGCCATATTTTCGAAGGTATCGACGATGAATTGTGCCTGTGTGGTTTTTCCCCTCCTGATGTACGCCGCCACAGGCCCGAACGGAGCGCTCCAGCGGGGCCTCGCCCTCGAGCGGTCGAGCAGCTCACAGGCCGCCCCCCCCCGCGGGAGCTGGCGTTCAGTCGGGCGCGTCCCCCTACGGAGGGGATTTTCGACGAAAAGCGAAAAAGACGCCAAAAATACTCCAGAATGGCCAAAAGATGCCCCAAAAAACGTCCCCAGGCTATGTGATGACTATCTTTGGATATTCCTCCTGCAGAGGGACGGGCCCGACTCGAAGCTGGCGCCCTGCCCGCCATTTCTGGGTCAGGGTCCAAAACCACACGGGATTTGCCACATGTCTGAAATTCGGTGGCACCCCTCACGCAGATCGGCGGGGTCAGGGTCCAAAAACACAAAGGATTTACCACATTTCTAAAATTCACTTGCACCCCTCACGCAGACTGGCGGGGTCAGGGTCCAAAAACACATAGGATTTGCAACATGTCTGACATTCGGTGGCACCCCTAGCGCTGATCGGCAGAGTCAGGGTCCAAAAACACAAGGGATTTACCACATTTCTGGAATTCGGTGGCAACCCCCATGCAGATCGGCAGGGTCAGGGTCCAAAAACACAAAGGATTTGGTACATTGCTGGAATTCGGCGGCACCAGGGTCCAAGAACACAAGGGATTTGCCACATTTCTGAAATTCGGTGGCACCCGTGACGCAGATCCGCAGGGTCAGGGTCGAAAAACAAACAGGTCCCGACACTGCTTCACGGCGGCGCCCAGACCACATGATTTAGCGTTTGCATCTCCCATTATCCGAGACAGGGGGCCGGCGGCATGGGGCGAAGCCCTTACGGATAAACGAATTTTGGTAGCATTATGGTTATATGGTTGCTATCAATACTAGCATAAGAATCAATACTACTACTCCTATCAATATTGACATTGTTGTTGCTAGTACTACGAGATATACGTTCATTGTTATTAGTGTGTGTGTGAATATGTATACTAGAGTGTGTGTGTGTGTGTTGTGTGTGGGTTGTGTGTGTGTTGTGTGTTGTGTGTGTTGTGTGTTGTGTGTGTGCGTGCGTGCGTGCGTGCGTGCGTGCGTGTGTGTGTGTTGTGTGTGTGTTTTCAAATACTGACGCACAAACAAAATATAATACTAATAAACGATCCCCCCCACCCGACCAGGGACAAACCCGAGACAATGCGCCCTTTCCCACGATCCTTCTCAAACAACGGCACGCGCTGCCTTTTGCGGCACAATCTTCGGCCATGTCCTGGGGGGGGGCGTGAAAATGTTGTATTGTTTTTCCCAACCCTCCTGCGTTGGGTACTCGTTTTGAATAGAGCACTGCGGTCTCCGTTCTCCTCCTCCCGTCCCCCCCCTCTCTTCCCTCCTCCTCTCCTCTCTTGCTTGCCTTCTCCTCCTCTCTTCGCTCCTCCTCTTCTCTTCTCTTGCCTTTCACGTCATCCCTGGCGGGCTGCGATCTGCGGAACTGTCACCACTTTCGAGGGCTGCTGGTGGGTCCAGCGGAGTGAGGCACCACGGGGACTCAGATTAGACCTCGCCATCCCTGGGGGGGGGGGGCTGCGATCTGTGAAACTGTCGCCACTTTCGAGGGCTGCTGGTGGGTCCAGCGGAGTGAGGCACCACGGGGACTCAGATTAGACCTCGCCATCTCTGGGGGGGGGCTGCGATCTGTGAAACTGTCACCACTTTCGAGGGCTGCTGGTGGGTCCAGCGGAGTGAGGCACCACGGGGACTCAGATTAGACCTCGCCATCTCTGGGGGGCTGCGATCTGTGAAACTGTCGCCACTTTCGAGGGCTGCTGGTGGGTCCAGCGGAGTGAGGCACCACGGGGACTCAGATTAGACCTCGCCATCTCTGGGGGGCTGCGATCTGTGAAACTGTCGCCACTTTCGAGGGTTGCTGGTGGGTCCAGCGGAGTGAGGCACCACGGGGACTCAGATTAGACCTCGCCATCCCTGTGTGAAACTGTCGCCACTTTCGAGGCTGCTGGTGGGTCCAGCGGAGTGAGGCACCACGGGGACTCAGATTAGACCTCGCCACCCCTGGGCGGCTGCGATCTGTGAAACTGTCGCCACTTTCGAGGGCTGCTGGTGGGTGGCCAGCGGAGTGAGCACCACGGGGACTCAGATTCTGACCACGAGCAATGCTCGCGTGCCCTTGCTCTGCGGTTCGTGCCACGTGGCGCTGCGACTCGAGCTGGCGGTCGTCCTTCGGACCCGCAGAAACATCTGCTGAGCTCGATGAGCTAGGGGAACTACAGGAAAGAAGTGCAGGAAACGGAGGCCGGTCATGCACTCGCCGATACCTCGTTGCTCTGTCATCGTCTTTGCTGTTGCATGATCCTTATCTGGCCTGCCGGCGCCGCGGCTCGAGCTGGCGGTCGCCCTTCGGGCCCGCGGGAACATCTTCTGAGACAAGTGGACGCCGCCGCCTTACTTGCAGGCAGCGCATTGCATTCGCGGACAGCAGCATGGCAGACCGCAGTGAGATCCTCAGTCGCGCGGTGTTGCCAAGCCTGGTGGAGACGCGCGTGATCGACCTGAAGTCCCAATCGCGCGTGCACTGTACCTGCGTGGCGTTCAGGCACGCGCGTGATGCTGCTCGCTCCGCGTTCAACCAGTACGTCGCCAGTGCAACTTTGGACGATGGACAACCGATTGATGATACGCGACCCCGGCCTTGAGTTTCTTTCCCGCGGGCCGCCCGCAGACCTGGCGGCGCGCCTGCGAGCGTTCAGCTCCCGCGCTGAAATGTGCGGGAAGGAGGCGGAGAAGCTAGCGGGCGAGCTACGCCTCGCTCGTTCCTTGCACTCTAAACAAGTTTTATCATGTGGAACTCTGCGACGACATGGCGCAGGCAGCGCTGCGGGTTTAGCTCGCACTTGAAAAACGCGGCAGTCTTCTGTCTCCTCCCGCCACTTTCATCGTCGTCCTATTCCCCGCCTCACCTTCTCCATGCATGCTGCTGCTTCCGCGATGGCCTTTCGCCCCCCCCGCCCTCCATTCCATCCCTCTCCTACCCCTCGTTCCCGTACCCGTTCTTCTTCGATCCTGGGGCCTCAAGCCTCGTTCTTTCGATCGTCGTCCTGTGAATCGTGCAACGCATGCGCATCCCATGTAGCTTGCACAGCAAATCGCCGCGTCTACACTGTCGTTGTTCCTGCTTATGTTGGTATACTCCTCTTGCCATTTGATGCACGTGGGTTGGGTACGTCGCAGGGTAATTGTTTGAAGGGGCCCTGGGACACACAAATAAATAAACACAAATAACAGGATTCCCTATAGTTTCCCATGTTTTCTGGGTTTTTGTCTTCCCCCCACTTCCTATATTTTCCCAGATTTTCTTGGAAATCGACGATTCATTGTGTCTGTATGTTTTTTCCCCTCCTGATTGTTGACAGGGACGGCGGGGGGGAGGCGTGGGAAGTCCCGCCACCTTCTGTGAAGGCCTTCTCCCTCTCGTGCTCCCCCTCGCTCGCCGAGGATCTATGCCACGGAGGACGTGTTCGACGTGCTCCAGTCCGTATTCCCCAACCTTCGGTGGCAACTCATGGGAGCCTTCCATGCCATCTTGTCGGCTCTTGCGAATCGACGCTAGTCGACGCCAAATCGACGCGTAATCGACGCTAGATCGACGCTAATCGACGCTAACCGGCGCTAACCGGCGCTACCTCATCGACTCCCAAACGCTAATCGATGCTACTCTACGCTAAACTTTAGCGTAGATTGGCGTCGATTAGCGTCGTGCACCCTCGCAATTGCATCTTCAGCGGCTGAAGACACGATTACGAGGGCGCACAAGGCTCTCATGATTAGCTGCCGAACCCAACCACTGCCTGCACCCTGGGGCTCTGATTTGTCTTCCTGGACTATGGGGCCGGGTTCCCAGGTTTTTGCCCGGTGCCTGGCCGATGGGCGACTCGTCGGCGCCCCCCCTTGCGAAGGGCTGGGGTTTCTGGGTGCTCGGGCCGTGCCAGGCCGGGCGCCTCATGGCCATGCACCACACGGTTTGCACCACGTGGCGTACGTCACACAGCGCGCCGCACCACACGGCTTTAACCACGCAGCTTTCTGACACATCCGGGGTGCAAGAACCTGGCAAGCATTCGTTGAGATCTAGCAGGGCCCTGTGCCCAGCGTTGCGCTGCCCTCAGCATGTGTCCAACGACGTCCTCTTCCTCCCAGCCTCGCTCCTCCTGGCCTCGCTCCTCCTCTCCTCCTTCCTCCTCCTCGTCCTCCTCCTCTTCCTCCTCCTCCTCCGCCTCCTGCTCCTCCGCCTCCTCCTCCTCCTCCTTTTCCTCCTCCTCCTCTACCTCCTCCGCCTCCTCCTCCTCCTCCTCCTCCTCCTCCTCCTCCTCCTCCTCCTCCTCCTCCTCCTCCTCCTCCTCATCCTCATCCTCCTCCTCCTCCTCCTCCTCCTCCTCCCCTCCTCCTCCTCCTCCTCCTCCTCCTCCTCCTCCCTCCTCCTCTCCTCTCCTCCTCCCTCCTCCTCCTCCTCCTCCTCCTCCTCCTCCTCCTCCTCCTCCTCCTCATCATCATCATCATCATCCCTCCTCCTCCTCCTCCTCCTCCTCCTCCTCCTCCTCCTCCTCCTCCTCCTCCTCCTCCTCCTCCTCCCTCCTCCTCCTCCTCCTCCTCCTCCGTATCCGTATCCGTATCCGTATCCGTATCCGTATCCCTATCCCTATCCGTATCCGTATCCGTATCGGTATCCGTATCCGTATCCGCTCCCGTATCCGTATCCGTATCCGTATCCTTCAGCCTCCTCTCCCCTCCCCTCCCCTCCCAACCCCTACCCCCCCCCTGCCGCTCCCCACCCCACCCCTGCCCCTCCCCTGACCATCGCCCCGCCCCTCCCTCCTTTTCCCCTCCCTGCCCCCTCCTCCTCGATCTCCCCCCCCCTCCCCTCGCTCTCGGAGCGCGGCTGCGGGGCGGCTGTCCCTCGGCGACCCGCACGCTCCACACCCCCGCGGCGGGGCCGAAGCCGGCGCGCCAGGCGGCGGCCAGCGCGCCGGCCTGGGGCGCGTTCCACTGGTGCGCGGTCTCCTCGGGGGTGGTCGCCAACCGAGCGAAGAAAAGCAGCGGGTCTTACGCGAGATGGCACGGCTCGCAGGCCCAGAGGTTGACACCAACACCAATAGATATCGGCGGTGTGCCTCCACCGAGGGAAGGAGATCCCGATCTCGGTGACGATGGGAACATCCTGGCAAGGTGACCGACTTATTACCACCAACACCGAAACCTAGGATCATCTTCCCCCTGTGGAGACAACCCCCTGTGTTGGTGTTGGTGCCCATTTCCAGGCCCCCCAAACGGCGACCTCACGCCGCAGCTTGCGCGGGCCGCCAGCGCGGCACGCTGCGCTGGAAACGAGGGCGCACATGAGCGCGGGCTTACGCGGGGAGCTCACGCGCCAGTGTCGGTGCAGTCGACCCCGCTCTTCTCTTCGTTGCTCCAGTGCACGCGCACGCCGACCCCGACTGGGCCCCGGGACCTGCGCATGCGCCCCCACGGCCAGGACGGGGAGGCCCGCCCCGAAACCCTGGCGCTGCAGTGTTTTCGCAGCGGGCGCTTCCGCTCGGTTGCTTTCGCCCGGGACCCTCACAGATCGATCCGGCTCGAAAGGGCGACGAAAAGAAATCGGCGATGGAGAAACCTCCCTTTAGTAAACCTCCCCTTAGTGAAAACGACCTGGGACCGAAACCGACGGACCTGGACCCGCAAACATGACGGCCGCGACGCCCTCCCCCGAACCGAAAACGGCCGGTTCACGAATCGACGTGTCAGGGTAGGAGGTCTGTCCACCCCCGAAAAGGGGTCTTACGCGAGAGATGACGTAGCGGCCTTGAGTGGCAGCCTACGCGGGCCGCCAGCGCGGCACGCTGTGTTGGAGACGAATGCGCTTACCCACGACCTTACGCGGACAGCTTACGCGCCAATGTTGGCGCAGACGGCCCCGTTTCTTGCGTCGCTCAGGTGATGCAGAAAGATGGGATCTAGGACTCCAGTCGTGAATGTTTCACAATATTGCAAAAATGTCTGCAACGTCAGATCTCAAAGTGCACTCTGACACTAGAGGCCAAGGGATGGGCCTGGCCAGGCGGGACTGGGCGCACATGTACGGCCCCCGTCGCTCCCACATGGGCACCGGGCACGTCAGGTTGGCCACGGCCACCGCCGAGATCTTCCCCAGCGCCTCGGCGAACTCGCCGTCGAGGAACGCCGCTGGCGTCTCGCCCTCGCCGTCGAACACGTCCACGATGGCGATGTCGTAGCGCGGGCCCGCCGGCGACGCGGCAGCGGCCAGGACGAAGGCCGCGCCGTCGCAGCAGTAGACGCGCAGGGAGCCTCCGCCGCGGCCGCTGGCGGCCGCGTCGGCCGCGCAGCCCTCCGCGCCGGCCGCCGAGCGCACCGCCTCCGCAGGCAGCCTCAGCATTAGAGGGCAGAAAATCCTCCTCCTCCTCCACCTCCTCCTCATCCCTCCTCCTCCTCCTCCTCCTCCTCCTCCTCCTCCTCCTCCTCCTCCTCCTCCTCCTCCTCCTCCTCCTCCTCCTCCTCCTCCTCCTCCACCCCGATGAGAACCGCCCCGACATGCGAAGCCGTTTCGCAAACGCACCCAAAGAAGGATTCGAGCAGGGCTGGGGTGTTCAGTAAACGCCCAGGGGGCCGTTTCGTAAACGCCCACTGTCGGGTCCGGGTGGTCTTTCCTCCCTCGAAGAATGGGGGACGCGGGCATCGGGTCCTGGACCCAGGGCCTTCCCTGAGAGCCTGGCGTCGCAATATTGTTTCGAGCTGGGCGGATGTCGCCTTTCTTTCGGGCCTGGGGGGCCCTCGCAGCTCGATGCGGCTCGCAAAATGGCGCAGAAGAACGGGGCTCCAGGGCTCCGGGCGTGATCTTTTGCGATGTTGCAGTTTCTTCGCATCGTCGGATCGCAGGGGTTGCCCCAGGACGAGTTCTTCATCCTGAATCGTTTACTGACGGCCCTGGGGCCCGTGGAGGGCCCTGAGGGCCCGAAAACGGCGAAAAACCTCAGGACCCGTCTCCCTTAGGACTGGTTCCTGGGGAAACCGGGAGGTACCGATACCGCTACTCCCCTGACCTCTCCCGGGATGCGTTCTGACCAGAGTTTCGAAGCGCATCCAGCGGTGGCGACGAGAGCCTCCCGGGAAGCATGAAGAAGAGGGAGAACGAGGGCAGGGTAGCGGTATGGGCACCTGTTCCTCCTCTGAGTTCCCCCTTCGGTGGCAACTCATGGGAGCCTCCCATACCATCTCGTCGGCTCTTGCTACGACGCTAGTCGACGCTGAATCGACGCTAATCGACGCCAAATCGACGCTAATCGACACCAACCGACGCTAAATCGGCGCTGCCTCGTCGACTCCCCGACGCTCATCGACGCTAGCCGACGCCAAAGACAGCACTTCGAGGCTACACGAGGCTCCCGTGGTTTGCCGGCGACTTTCCCCTGGGGCGAGCGGCCCCATCGCGCCCGTCGCCGCCCGCAGGACCGAGGCTCGGGCCGGGCGAAAGGGGGGGATAGCCAAGCGGGGGCTGGAGAAGCAGCTCACGCAGCGGATCTTCCCGGCGCCTCCCGGCGCCGGGAGGCGCCCGTGCATCGAGGAACATGGGCCCGGCGGCGGGGCCGAGGGCGGCTGCACGCAGCAGGTGTCGTGAGCCCCCCTTTCCCCATCCCCCCCTCTCGTGCGGCCCGAGAGGCGTCCAGCTCCACGGCGTCCACCACGGCGCCCAGCTGCGCCGCGAACCAGGCCGGCAGGGCCCCGCCGCCCGTGCCCACCACGAGCACGCGGGGGGGCCACGGCCTGCCGAGGGCCCTGCCCGTGGCGCTGCCAGAAGTGCCCCTGGCCCGAGGCGCCCCCCCCAGCTGGCGGATTTCGGAAACCCTGCTCCTCCTCCTCCTCCCTCCCTCCCTCCCTCCCTCCCTTCCTCCCTTCCTCCCTCCCTCCCTCCCTCCCTCCCTCCCTCCCTCCTCCTCCCGGCCTCGCTCCTCCTGGCCTCGCTCAACCTGGCCTCGCTCCTCCTCCTCCTCCTCCTCCTCCTTCCTCCTCCTCCTCCTCATCCTCCTCCTCCTCCTCCTCCTCTTCCTCCTCCCCATCTTCTCATTATTATTATTGTTATTATTAGTATTATTCGTCTTCTTAATATTATTATTATTATTATTAGTAGTATTGTTATTGTTATTATTGTTATTAATATTATTATTATTATTGTTATTAGTATTATTGTTATTAGTATTATTATTATCATTATTATTATTATTATTAATATTATTATTATTAGTATTATTATTATTATTACTAATAGTCTTAGTCTTATTCTTATTCTTATTCTTATTATTATTCGTCGTCTTAAAATTCTTCCTATTATTATTACTATTATTAGTATTACTCTTATTATTAGTATTATTATCATTATTATTATTAATAATAATCGTA